TCTTCCATAAGATCAGCCACCTTTGTTAAGTTGGATACTGGGCCTTCTTTGGCAACAGGTATCCCTGTTGGTGTGAGTTAGAAATCCATGGATCCAGCCAAATATTTATCTTTCTTCTGAACCCCTGTTTGTGCTTTCTTAGAATTTTCATCCAGGATATCCACATCCAAGAAGGGGCCTTGGACTTTGTCTGAGCAGCTTGAAGTATGGACCCCTCTGCAAAATACTTCCTTTTGAGAACCTTGCTCATAAGTAGGTTAGGATTGGTGGCCACTCTCCAAATTTGTTTGAGTATAAGGGACTCATTAAATAGGAGAATATCTTGAAATCCTAGGCCTCCAGCACTCTTAGGAGTAGTAATCAGAGTCCAAGATTTCCAATGAATGTCAACTCTTTGATCATCTCCCTTACTCCACCAGAAATTAGAGCTCAATCTGATGATTTCTTGACAAGTACCCTTGGGTAGAAGGAAACATGACATTGTGAAAATAGGAAGAGCATTTATAACTGCTTTAAGTAAAACCTCCTTACCAGCTTCAGATAAAAATCTGTTTTTCCAGCTTATGAGTCTTCACCTCACTGCTTTTACAACATAGTTAAAGCATTCCTTCTTTGATCTGTCAATGCCTAATGGTAGATCCAAATATCTGGTGGAGTTGTGCTTCTTGATACCATTCATAATTCTGCAAACTTCCATCTGAAAAGCAGTAGGAGTGTTTTTGCTAAAAAATATGGAAGATTTGTGGAGATTGACTTTTTGCGCTGTGAACCTTTGATACTGTTAAACGCTTTTCATTAAAGTTTGGGCTTGAGGAGCTGAGGTAGCACAAAACACCATGGCATCATCTGCAAAGAGCAGGTGGGAAAAAGTGGGACCTGCTTTGGAGATCTTTAGCCCTCAGAGAGCACCTTCATCTTCTGCAGCTTGTAGAATCCTGGAAAACATTTCAGACACCAGAATAAAAAAGGTAAGGGGAGAGAGGATCCCCCAGCCTTATTCCTTTGGAGGCTTGAATAAAACCAGTTAATTCTCCATTCAAGTTAAAAGAATATGAAGGTGTGGTTATACAAGCCATGACCCATCCCACAAATGTTTTATGAAATCCCATTTCTAACATGATTTTCTGAATGCATACCCACTCAACCCTGTCAAATGCCTTTTCCATATCTAGTTTAACTGTCATGTAGCATTTCTTTCCTGATCTGTGCCTGTTCAAGAAATGCATAGCCTCTTGGGCAATTATGACATTATCTAGTAGTTGCCTTCCCTGAATAAATGTAGATTGGTTTATACTAATACAATGAGAAAGGCAAGCCTTCAACCTAAGTGAGATGATTTTTGATATGATTTTATAGGCGACTCCACACAGACTTATGGGTCTATATTGGCCCAAAGAGACAGGATTTGGACATTTAGGGACCAATATAATCACAGTATGATTCCAGTTTCTCAGAATTTGACTAGAATAAAAAAAGCTCAGAATAGCTTATATCAGATCAACTTTAATAATGTCCCAAAATTGCTGAAAGCAAAATGGAGACATACCATCTTGGCCAGGGGACTTGTTTGGTTCCATGCTGAAGAGGGCATCTTTAATATTCTCCTCGGTGATTGGAGCCACTAGTTCATTGTTCATTTCTTCTGTGATGAGGGCAGGCAGGAGAGTTAGGATATCAGCATCTCCACAGGACCCTTCTGAAGTGAATATTTGGCCATAAAAGTTTTCTAGATATTTACTGATCTCCTCTTTGGATTCAAGTAATTGCCCCTTTGAATTCTGCAGACTTGTAATGGTATTGATCCTCCTTCTCTGCGTTGTAACCGCATGAAAGTATATGGTGTTAGAGTCACCATCTTGCAGCCATTTGGTTCTGGATTTCTGAGACCAATATGCTTCTTCTTTTTTGAGTTCAGTCTCTAATTTTCTTTTGGTTGCTGCCCAAAATGACCAATTTCTAGCTGTACCTTCCTCTCTCATATTCTCAAGATCCCTGGTGAGTTGGTTTCTTACTTGACAGCTCTCAATTCTAAACTTGCTACTCCATTTGAGAAGTGCCAGTCTAGTTTGCTTGATTTTCCCTGATATTTGAAACATAGGAGTCCCACTGAGGCTTTGGTCCCATGCTTCTTTTATGATTGTGTTTACACCCTTAGTCTTGACCCATCTCTTATCAAAGTAGAATCTCCTTTTCTGTGCCTGTCACCAGTCCCAAGAATAAGAAGAGTAAGCAGGTGGTGGCCTGATGCACTTCGAAATTTGTTCAACACACAAGCCTCTCTATGGTTGGATAGCCAGTCAAAAGAACAGAAGACTCTGTCAATTTTCTCCTCTATGTGCTCTCCCTCAGCCCTGCAGTTCTCCCAAATGTAATTGTAGCCAACCATATCAATATCAATCATACCCATATGTGCAACAAAAGTCTGAAAAGCTCTGAGTTCTTGGGATATCTTCATCTTGCCACCCTTCTTATCTGATGAATGAAAGATGTGGTTCTAATCTCCTCCTAGAATCCAACTGTTGCCCCATTTAGATCTTGCCCTGTCCAAAAATTCCCATTGAGCTTCTCTAATAGATTTATAAGTACTTGTAGGCAATTAAATTTTGAGCCAATAAAATGGCGACAAGTGTCAAATTCCATGTCATAATCAATTTAATAATTTTCTATTTTATTTGGGAAATTAATCAAATTTTAATTCCTAAATTTAATAGTTAATTAATTGATTATTTAATATATAATGTTGGCCAATTAAAGAATGCCACATGTATATTTTTGAAGGCCAATTAAAGAATGCCACATGTCATTTTCTTGGAGAATAAAATAAATATTTATTTCTTTTGATAATTATTAAAGAGATAAATGAGTGGAAATTCATGGACCAATCAGATTGAAGTCTTCTTTTCCAAGACTCTCTCTCCTAATTATCTCTTTA